ACAAAGCTTACGATTCAGTCAGTAGATTGGAATACTCAAAAGACAATAGTTCGGGAATTGCGGGGAACACAGTGCTTACGAACCAATACGTGATTCAACAGACTATGACAGTGGGATGACTCGTATGCCAACAGCACAGCTGGCAACTTTGGGCGTATATCGTTTGGTGCGGCTCCCCCCATTTCTGTACTGGACAACTCGTCTAGGTGATTCAACCTCCTGACAATGCCAAATGATGCAAATACACAAAATACAAGTAGGTTCATAATTTGGCGGCTAATATTAGTAGCGCATATCGCAACTGGGCTTAAATCAGCTCGATGAGCAGCGTGTTGATCGAGCATAGGCAAGAGGGTGATCGCCTGGACGAGTTGTCCAGGCGATCACTCTCATCACACAGAAAGAATTCGTAATCGGTTTTTTTTTACTATTGTTGTAACTCCCGACAAGAGATAGAAGAGACTGAGATATCGACGAGGCTTGAAGGTCACCCTATGTGATAATGGTGAATTTGCTTCTTAAAAAAATTGTAAAGGAAGTACTTTCGCAACGTTCAGCTTCCAAACAATCGAAAGTGTGAATGACAGAAATAATTCCATCTTATGTAAAAACTATTCGAACGTAATTTAAAAAACATACTTGATCCTCAAAAAAGACATACAGGGCTCAACTAGGGATGCCAACAAACAGAACTTCAACCGATGCGGTTATCGCAGCATTCCTTGAGAAAATTTTCTGGTGAAAGTGTAGTTGGAGGGGGTGGGGATTGAGGGACTCATCCAAAAGTTAGTATATCAGGAAATGAACCCAGTTAAACGTTTTTATCCTTGTTGTATTGGCACTGTATCAGAAGCAAAGAGGATCATGGACATCGCCTTTAATGCGGTTTTAGCCAAGGAAATGTAGGGGTAGGAGCACCTGGGTGGGTGAGATGATTATCCATGCGAAAAGAAAGAAAAGAAGAATGGAAACTTGCCCACCGCGTTGCTCTTCCCCTCCTAAAGCTTGGTTAACCCCCCTCCATTCCCCCAACTACATTTTCACCATTTCGTTCAAAAGTGTCATGTTTCGCTTCAATTCCATCGAGATTTCATAAAGGAAAATCTCCTGCACTCTGAAAATGACCAATCTACCTTCATTGTCACATAAAATGACCCTCGTCGCCTTTACACTCTGAAAAAAACTGAGGATCTTTGGAAGGACCACAGATCCATAGTATGACTGTTGAAACATGTTGTAGCCATCATCTACTCGATCAGTTCTTCATGGTTGGCCCGCTTCCGTTTTCGATTTTGTTTCTTTTTATTTCTCAGAATTTGGTCACTTATTATAACATTTATTGATGCAATCTTCATCATACATCAAAAATATAAGAGATCAATGGTTACAAGCATTAGCACATGCAAAAGTCGGGTTTTGCACATCCGCATTTGGTTCGGATAGTCTCGTGCTCGTGGACCGGCCACGTCTACCTCATCGCTGCTAACCCTGATCAGTCATATGAGAAGGGTGAAAATCCTTCTCATGCTATTGTGCAGCGCTTGTCAGTAGGAATTATAATCTACCTTCTTAACCATGAATTGATCCAAGTGAAGTACAATGTGCCTTTTCAACGTTTTATCGAAAATTTTGGCGACTATCGATGCTGCAGTATTTAGCACTATTTTTTGGGACTATTGGGACTATTTAATGGTTCTTTTAAGCCCTTTTGACAGTAATAAAGACCGCTCAAGACAGTTTAAAGAGTTGCGATCCATATCTGAACAAATTTAAACGAGTTATCGAAAAGTATTAATCGAGTTAGAACATCTTTTTGACTTTAGGATGGATCATTGACAAGCAAAAAAAGACAAACACTCAAGCAATGACGCGTTTTATTGAACTTTTCCATTTTGAGTAAGTCTTTTCTTTGCGAGAAAAGCTTGTTTTGGAAGGTTCACATGGTAACGAGCGAAATGAGCCGAGATTGGACACTTTGCAGTCGGCACCTTCAGAAAGATTTCAATTTTTTTTACAGGCGAGCTCTGTACTCTTCACTGTTACCCGAAAACAAAAACACATGTCACGAAACGGCCCCGAGAGCAGATTATATGGATCCTCAAATCCCCGGACGTAACAGGAAACGTCGTTGAAACGACGAGATTAAGGTTATGGTGTATACGGAGTTTTAGAAGACCATAACAATATCCAATTAGTCAGTATAGGCAATACCATTCGACTTGAGAAGTCGTATAAAAATTAATCATATTAACACCCACACACCTTCAGTAGTTTCTCCCATTCGATATTTTCCCGTTCACGACCTGAACGGACGTTTGACCTTCGACTTATCAGCCGTAGTGACCGTCGAATTGCCGTTGAAAGACGTCTGAAATCACGACCATGACAACATACAAGGTTACAGGTCTTCCGGGGGAACAGAACAAAACGGAACAGAACTTCTGTCGAGAGCCGGGTGTGGGTACATTCGTGCGTCCGTGGATGCGCGCTGCAAGCTGCGCGGCGGCAAGGCTGATTTCGACGCGGGTTCGAAGAAGGGCAGATTAGCTCGATCAGGTGGTCCTGGTGATGTAACGATCGCGGGTATTCATTGGAAATGGAAGTTTATTCGTTGCGATGGCCTGTGCAATAATTGGACAAATGTCTCGCGCAACTCGTCCGCCCATTTTTGCGGGGTGTACGTTTAGCTGGAAGTCTGCTGGACTGACCCTCCCCCAGTACTCCTCTGTTCAGGTCCTCTGTTCACCCGGCCATGTGGCGTCACGACCCTTGTGTGGTTCCAAAAGGAAATTTGGGTTTCTTTTTTATCTATGGAATTTTGTGTCTTTTTACCCTCGCGCTCTAACTTACACCTTGAAAAACCAACAACCGAGTTTTGCTATGTGGTTTTCTCTCTTAAATATCTAGTTCCTGCAAGTTTGTCGATTAATCGAGAACTTTAACATGGTTTAAGTTTGATGCTTGAAGACCTTCTCTTTTGTTTTTGCATATTTGTTGTGAAAAAATCGTTTTTGTATGCCGAATGGCATTTCGTTAGATTTCTAGCATATCTTAATGATATGTTAAAGCGAAATAGATCTTCTTGAATTAGATACTTTTCTGGTGAGTAGAACTGGTCCAATACGTTGCGACACGTACCACACACACGCAAACGCACGTACAACGCACCCTTGCGCGCACACACACACACACGCACACATACACGCACACACATACACATACAAATACAATTACACATACACATACACACAGAGTTGTCTTCATAGCAATGTCTGATACTCATAACAGATGTGCTTTATTCAGGTCCACAGAAACTGCAAGAAAATGTGTTCAAGATGAAATTCCCGCTAATGAGCGTATGGCTCAGTCATCGCTATTCCGAAAGTTATGACTTCTTCAATTCCGTAGAGGGGGTTCCTCCTATCCTCTCTGTGATGAATGTTCCTCCATAGTCGCAATGACCTCACACTGTAACTCAGACCCAGATGGTTGTGAGGAAATATGGCCCTCAGCTAATCCCTAATCGTTTTGGACTATTCTTAGTCGGATTTCGAGGAACTTTTCTTTGTTTGATGTTTACAAGCATATCCTTGAGTAGGAAGGTGTCAGATAATCAGATATGACGTTGTAAGTGTAAATTCTGCCAGGCAACGACTAAAAAAGAGCTGAGGGCTGAGAGGTCTCGGTAGTTGAGAGGTGAAGAGTTCGGTAACCGGAGAGCAGAAGTACGGATTCGAGCCCTGCATGAGGTCAGGCATCTTCCCTATAACTTGCCATCCTTATGAGATAGTTTTCTCATTTCTCATATTTTTCCTTTGCCTTTCACATATTCTTTTTACTGGACTTTGTTCCTTTTGCTGGAGCTGTTGCCAATGGAGAAACTGTTTATCGCCGCTTTCTTCTTCTCCCTAACGTTAATCCCATGTCGTCGCAGTGTCCGCTATTCTTGTCACTTGACTCCTGTTGAGTGTTGTTATGGAATCGTCGTATATTACCTTGAACAAGAAGACCAAATGTTTTGGATTGTTCCGCACCCGGAGCCTTTCCCAGATTGAGAAAGTCTAAGTAGCAGGGTCTACGCCTTTCTCGATACTTCTCCATCACTTGTCTGGCTATGAAGATAGCGTCCGTGGTAGACCTTTATGGCATGAAGTGGGACTGCTGCTGTGAGATCTTGACGAGTTTATCTTGGGTCGACTAACCGCTCATGGCAGTTCCATCGCGTGAGCAGTCAGCCTGATCACTCGATAGCTGGAACACTCCATCGCGTCCCCCTTCCGCTTGAATATGGAAACGGCGGTACTGCTTCTTTAAGCATCC